CCCCCCCCCCCCCCCCCCTCCCGCAACACCCGATTGCCTTACCAGGCCGATCGTGATGGAGTGGGTCTGCAAGGACAGCGAGTTTCACCTCCCTGAGTGCTCGGACTACCGTGAGGGAAGGACCGACGCACTAGTGTTTGAGGTAAGAGATGCTATTATGGTGTTGGAGGAAAGGGCAAAGCATGCTGGCACAAGATACCACTGACTAGTAGATGAGGAAAGAGATGCTGACACTAACGCCCACCACCGCGGAACCATGTGTTGACCGTAAACATCACAAAGACACACGCACGCAGGCACCCCCCCTCGCCCCTGTTGTCCAACGCCACCACCGACACAAACCCCCCCCCCCTCTCTCTCTCTCTCTCTCTCTCTCTCTCTCTCTCTCCCTCTCGCGTGCGTTTTTCCTCCGACAGATCCCCCGGCTCTGCCTCTTCAGGCCACCCCTGCGCCGACGCCTACCACCCGCCGCCGGAAACCCCACCACCCCCTCCGAGGACACAAGAAGAAGAAAAATAGATGGCGCCAGTGGCGACTCGCCGTCCGTGGCGGCGGTACCGCCGGGCACCGCCGCTCAGGCCTCAGGGAAGCGGAGGGGTCGCGCCCTGGGAGTAGGCCTTGGGGAGGGCGGGATGGGTGCCGACGACGACGGGGGGGACGGGGAAGGGTCGGAGTGGGAGGAGGGCGAGCCCACGGACTTCGTGTACACGGGGCTCTTCCCCGGAGAGGCCAAGGGCTGGGGAGGACGGCAGGGAGGGGAGGAGGAGCCCGTGTTGCTGTTCGAGGACGAGACCGTGGAAGATGGACAGGTGAGCGTTTTTGTTTCGCTCACCAAGCGGTGCTGCCTTTGGCTGTAAGCTCCTTCTTTTACCTGTGAGGCTGTTCCCTTGTACAGCGAACGGTGCTGCTTGCTTGCAGTGCATGGCGCCGTTTTTGGACGCCCCCCCCAAGCACTGCACCAATGTCTGTGTCATCGTCGTTCTTGTCGTGGGCGCACTGCAGACAAGGTAGTTCACAATATTCGACACCACTTTTTTCTGAACAATTTCTAGAGGATACCGCAAGGCACATTGATGCCTCTGGGCAAATAGATGCCAATGACAAAGAAAAATGTGCTTTCAACTACACGGATCATCCTTGATGATTCACCTGAGCATCGTCCGCCCCCCCCCGTTTTCGTTTTCTCTCCGCCGGGACTGTCATTGTTCCCTCCTCTTTCCCCATGTCCCTTCACTCCACCCTTGCCGTTGGTGTGAACGAGCTCTTGCCGTTGGTTTGAACAGACCCCTGCTCGAACCTCTCTAGGACGCGTGGTCAATGGTCTAACCGCTAAGGCATGCAAAACATAAGAGTACGCCCCTCCCCCCGCCCCCCCGCCGTCAGGCCCTTGAACGCCTGGTCGCCCGCGAATCGGAGCTCATGTCCCAGGAGGACCAAGAGAGCGCGGCGGAGCGTAAGACCAGGGCGGAGCTCGTCACCGCGGAGGCGTCCTTGAGCGTAGCCGAGAAGCATCAGCAGCAGCTGGAGGCAACCGCCGACGGGGGGACGGGGGACGGGGGTCGCGTGTCCGCGGTGATGGACGTGGTCAACCAGGTGTGTTTTCTCGGCAGTGGCCTTCGCGAGGATACTATCAACAGCTTGGTTTGGGTTGATGGGGTTAGGGTGAGGGTTGGGGATAGGGACACGATACCCCCCCCCCCTCTCGATTTGTAGTAAGAGTGTATACAGATTTGGTTGGAAAACGTTGTTGGTGGCAGCTGGCAGGTGGTTCAAACCAACGCGCGCGTTACTGTCATCTTGTTTCACTCCTTGATGACACTGTTACTGGTGCTATGCTCTGAGGGCCCACTCCGGAGGCGCGCCTTGTAGATTTATGATGAAATCCTCGCGATGGCGGCGGTCCGTCCTCGTGCGCGGGAAAGAATGGCAACGACACCTCCGCTCAGAGTTTGGGGTGATTTTCGGTTCGTCGGCCGTTCGGTTCAGCGCGCGGTCTACGTCCCAGCACACAAGAACCCCAATGCACACAAACACGTACGGGACGCACGCTTGAGCTGCTTTGACTTTTCTCCCTCTTGCCTGCTGTTTTGCGTGTCGGCGCTCGGTCGCACAAAAGACAAAAGAAGTGATGGTGAAATTGCTTTCTCTGAATATCTGTTCTTTTGTTTGTGCACGGTTCTGGAAATTGTTTAGAACATTCCCAGGTCCGTTCCTCATAATACATCAGTATCTTACCCTCACACTCAAATTTTGCCTATCTATTCTGATGGGACCAGGTGAACCGAGTGGGGGACCTGAAGCTCTCTCTTGACGAGAGGGTGGAGACGCTGAAGCGGGTGAGGTCGCGCCTTGAGTCGGTCCGGCGGGAGGCCAACGCGGAGAGGACGGTGCAGTCGGAGAAGGCCCGCTTCGAGGCACACCGACCCAGCAGGTGGTGGTGGTTGTTTGAAACGGCTGTTGTTGTTGTTGTTGTTGTTGTTGTTGGTGTTGGTGTTGGTGGTGCTGTCTCTGCCGTCGTCGTCGCTGTTGTCGTTGTTGCTGCTGCTGCTGCTGCTGCTGCTGCTGTCGTAGACGTTGATTCTAGTGCTATGTGTTTTTTTTGCGAACAGTCGCAGCTGTTGACACTCGTGTTATTGAGGGGCGAGGCCGATCGCCCGAAGCAGGCCACTCAAGGGGTACAGAGTGCTCGTCGACGTGAAGCAGGGATGGATGATACACTCGAGCCAAGCAGGCGCAGCCAAACATGTCGCCCCAGCACAAATAGAAACGATGCCCGAGTTTAGCTTAGTCACGCCCCATTATGTCTGTCTGAACCGAGTGCGGTCGTGTCTCCGGGTTCACGAAAAAAGATCAGAACGGTAGTCACCAACATTGCACGATTTTGTCTGCCGCCTTTTTGCGGAGACAAGGTCCCTCCCCCTCCCCGCACTCTCGTGGCATGCAGCATGGCACGGCATATACCGTATATGACGCAAGAAAACACACCCCCTGGACCAATTTTCAAAGCTCGATTACTCCACGACGAAGAGGATGCATAAACGAAACGATACACTTTTGGAAAGCTCTCGACGAGACGGTTCCAACGCCGATGTTTTCGGCGCCGTGACTCTTTCTGTTTTTGAGAAATCGATATTTGAAAATCGGTCCCCGGGGTGTGTTATCTTGTGTCATGTACGGAAGGTGTATTTGTCTTCCCATGAAACGAAACACACTAGCGTGTGTTCATTCCTCAGGCGGTGAGTGCGGTCGATGCCGTATCGTTGTCAATCTTGCCCCCCCCCCCCAAAAAAAAAATGCCATCAATACACAGCAGCAGTATCAACGTAGTTACCAAAACGTGTTTTTTGTTCTTTATACTCTGATTGTGTTGTTTATTTACGCACTTGTACCTATGCTGCTGTCATGCAGGGTTCCGCCCGCGCCTTCGCGCTTCGACATGGTGGCCAGCGGCGTCACGATTCGCTCTTACCGCTCGGCGAGCCTCGTCGCGGAGAACCTCTCCCTGCGGGCGTGGATGGTGGTGGCAACGCCCCTGCGCCCCTGGTGCGGCGGGGGCGACGCGAAAGAGTCCGGGATGTTTCCGGGAGTGTGGGACTCGCTCGGTTTCCTACCCAACAGGTGCGCGGAGGGGAAGAGATAGTGGCGATAGCCATGAGCGATACGTGTTTTTTTTTTAGAAAATCTGCTTAAATCGCAGAAAAGACTACCGTTTTTTTTTCTACCATATGTTACATATTTGTACCGCCGTATGGTGCGTAGTATATCATGCCAGTGCTACCTAGGGGGAAGGCGAGATCGTACAATATACTACAGAACGTCCAAGTATTACTCCCTCCTGTCTGTGTGGCCCCTGCTGATACGATGCGTCGAGTTTGTACAGGTAGGTGTAGAGTGGCATCACAACATATGGGGACGAACATGTCACACACACAAACACACACAGAGTCGAACTAGCCGAGAAAGTCCACAAAGCCCCTGGTGCGTTCTGGCACGTACGACCTCGGGGACAACCTTCACAGAAATTTTCGATGAAAGTAAAACCTTGCACGGAAGTGAATAACGAAAACGAACACGAAAACGAAGAACGAGATTTCGTGCGAAAAGAATGGAACAAAAACAACCACTACAAAGTTTTTTTTTTTTTTCATTATTTTCTTCCACGGCCAGGGACCCCATGTTCGCCAAGGAAGCTCTGGACCTTACCGTCCTCATCGACGAGCTCGACGCCAGCCTGACGCGGTCCCAGTACTCCACCATCATGAGCATCGTCATGGACAACTTCCCGGAGCCTTGGTCCATCTGCCCCCCCGTCATCGAGTGGCCGAAGCGGGACCCGGAGGTGTCGCAAGGGGTGTGCCGGGACCCTCTTGAGGGGCGGAGGACGGCTCAGGTGTGTGCCGACTTCTTTTTATTATGAACTTCCCTGCTCTTGGGTAAAATCTCCTTCGAAGTAATATTTTATCATGTAGACTACTCTTTGCACCACGTTTTATTGGTGCGTGTTTTTTTCTTTTTGCAAGGTTGAAGGAGCGGTCTACAACTAATTTACATGCGCCGGAACCCGCAAACTAGTGTGTTTGTTCCTTCAAGTAGGAATGTGTTTACTTCTTGTGTGTTGCGTGTTGATTGGGCAGCCAGGCCGAGTCTGACACATCGGAGCCGGCGAGTTCTTGGTAACAAGCTTGATCGATTTACAATGTCGTACTTGTTTATTTGCTTGTGACTCCCTCCCTTAGGGTTGTACTTTCACCTTTCAAGCAGTTAGAGTTATGTACCCCCCCCCAAACCAAACCAAACCAAACCAACAAACTAGAAGGAGCGAACGCTTTGCGGACGCAACAAGTACCCCCCCCCCCCCCCCCC